CCCCAAAACCCCAAAACCCCAAAACCCCATCAGACTTAGATAGGCTTCCAAAAGTAGTAATCAAAAGTTTAATAAGAAGTTGATATATCAATAATTTTAGGATAACTTCATAATAATTAAATGTTCAGCAGCAATAATATATTATATTAAAGCCAATTACGTGGATCGATTGCTCTGCCGTAAATCCAGTTCTAGTAGCAATAATTCTAGTAACCTATATTCCCATAGTACAACTATCCTGTGAACTAACCTGTATATTTTTAAAATAATGCTCAAACTGTATTCAATCCGATCAGCTTTCAGAATTAAATTCAAAGATTCCAGTAATAAATCATTCAACAACAGCCTCCTTAGGCACAACTATTCAAACAATAATATTAGTACCCTGTACAGCATCTAGATCATCAATTTACCAATTTTGAGTAGAATTAAGTTTAAAAGATAAATCAAATACCATCAATATAGAATGAAAGTCAATTCGCTCTAACAAATATTTTGGCAAAACCCGAAATCATATAACAAGATCCGCTGAATATAACCTAGGACTAGATGATCATAAGAAGAAGAAAAGGCTGCAAGTCAATAATAAATTGCGAGCACCTCGATGAGAAACACTACGCAAAGGTAAATTCAATTATTTAATTAAATAGGGGATGTGTTATCTATGCTATCACAAGAAAGGAAGGACAAAGCCAGCATTCAAATGTGAGCACATAGATGACGCTCATTATTCTAAGGGTCTGTGTCAATCGTGTTATATATTATAATATTCTGAGGTAATCTCTTAAATTTTATACATAATTTAGGTAAGGAAAAAGAGAAGACTAGCCAGAAAATTAGGTAAGCTAGAAATCATGAAAAGACCTAAAAAACTTAGTATAATGTCAAAGCCCTAAAACATTATGATCCCAACTCTAAAGCCATTTTCAGAGATAGCATTCTAATAATGAAATTTATCTAAGTCACTAATATTAAAGTATTAATATAATTAGGTTAATTGTTATTTGCCTATTTTCATTATAATTCGTAGATTACTTAATTTATTTACTTGTAAACAGGTATATCTTTCCTTAATTTGTCTCCATGTGATCCTGAGGGGTTTTGGGGTTTTGGGGTTTTGGGG